CCAATAAACCGACCAAGTACATCCTTTGAGACGAACCAAAATTCAACCGGAGTTAAATCGAGAAGCGGCTGAAACTAAACCGGAAAGCGGTTAGGAGAAGATAAAAGGATGCCTGCTAAACGCGCATCTTAATCGGTCGACTAGATCAGGCAACGTTCAAGTCGAGCTACTAGATTCGCTCATGGTGCCTGCTAAACGCGTATCTCAGTCGGTCAACCAGATCAAGTAAAGATCAAGCCGAGCTACTAGATTCACTCAAGGTGACCGCTAAACGCGCTCCAGCAGACAACGTCTTAGCCGCGCTACTAGATCCGTTCAAGGTGACCGCTAAACGCGCTCCAGCAGACGACGTCTTAGCCGTGCTACTAGATCCGCTCATGGTGACCGCTAAACGCGCTCCTGCAGACGGCGTCTTAGCCGCGCTACTAGATGCGCTCAAGGTGGCGCCTAAACGTGCTCTTACAGGCGACGACTTAGTCATATTACTAGACGAGCTCAAGACGACGCCTAAACGCGCTAACAGAAGCCATTCTAGCCGCGAGACTAGACGAGTTCAAGACGACGCCTAAACGCGCTAACAGAAGCCATTCTAGCCGCGAGACTAGACGAGCTCAAGACGACGCCTAAACGCGCTAANACTAGACGAGTTCAAGGCGACGCCTAAACGCGTCAACAGAAGGCATCCTATCCGCGCGACTAGATGCGCTCGAGGCGATCGCCTAAACGCGTTCGTGGTTGACGTCCAAGCCGCGCTACTAGACGCGCTCAAAGTGTCGCCTAAACGCGCACTGGTAGAAGACGATCTAACCGCGCTACTAGACGCGCTCAAGGTGTCGCCTAAACGCGCACTGGTGGGAGACGATCTAGCTGCGCTACTAGATGCGCTCAAGGTGGCGCCTAAACGTGCACTGGTAGAAGACGATCTAGCCGCGCTACTAGACACGCTCAAGGTGGCGTCTAAACGCGCACTGGTGGAAGACGATCTAGCTGCGCTACTAGACGCGCTCAAGGTGGAGCCTAAACACGCACTAGTAGAAGACAATCTAGCTGCGCTACTAAACTCGCTCAAGGTGGCGCCTAAATGCGCATCCGTGCTAGATTCTCCATATGATCAAACATGACCACAAATTCACTTAGAGTCTTAAGAGCTCACAAGTGAACTGGGGGGACTTATTGTGGGAGATGGGTTATACCCCTCCACAAGGCCCATCAAATGGAGAAGCTTAGCCCGATGTAACAATCTACTCGGCCCACTAAAAGCGTAGGAAACGCCTCAGCACGAGAACGTGTCTAGTAGCGCGACAAAGAGCGTTCTAGAAGACTCGGTGGAAGCAGGATTTACCCGGGCTACTAAACGGGCCCGACGAGAATCAAGCCCAACAAGGCTCAAGTGAACTAGGGCGAACACGAGGACAGGGTCTATAAAAGGGATAAGAGGAAGCAACAAGAAGGGGGGGACAATTCGACATACTCACTTGGCGGCTAGATCTAGGGTTTCTTAGCGACTAGGTGGTTAGATCTAGGGTTTACTCACCTTCCCGTTTAGTCACCTTCTCGTTTACTCACCTTTCCGTTTAGTCACCTTCCCGTTTACTCACCATCTTGTATTTCCGGCTAGTCCGCCTCTTTACTCTTCTCTTTGTAACTCCTTGTTCAGATCTAATAAAACGTCTTTGTTCGCCCTCATCTCTCTCTTTATATTGTTCAAACCATTTTCACCTCAAACAATCTTCATTCTTTCCACGTAACATTGAACCCATGACACGGAGACCCAATGGAAGGTTACTACAAAGCTGTGTTGCTCTTTTGATAAGCTTTTGAAACCATACGGTGCCAAGCTACCTTTAAAAGCATATCTACAAAGGATTGTACGAGCCTCTTCCATAGTTGGAAAGTCCACATGGTATGTATTGTTGATACCATGTTGCTCCAAAAGCTCTTGATCTTCTGTTGTTACGACAATCCTGCTTCCAGGACCAAACCAGTTAGTGTCATCAGCCAAAGCTTCAAGCTGCTGCAGATTGTCCACATCATCAAGAATGATAAGAACCTTTTGGTCACATAGCCTTTTTGGAATAGCACGTAAATGGTTTATCTTTATATCATTTTAGTTTAGACACTTTGAAAGAAGTAGTTCTTGTAAACGCAGCTTCAATCCATACTCGTCAAGACCACTGTTACAGCTTCCTCTAATATTCTCCATGAAACAAGAAAGCTGGAAACTGCTAGAGAGTCGGCAATGTAAAGCTCTAGCAATAGTAGTCTTACCGATGCCTACAGGCTACAGGGCCACATATACCAACAGTCATAGCTCCCTCCTCATCACCAACATCTAAATGTAACAAAGACTGCATCTTCTCCAAGTGTGCTTCAATACCCACCATGTCTGCAAAATCGCTAGAGATTGTAGAATTTAGTTTGTTTGAAACATCTCTAGCAATCTTTTCAATCATCTCTGATTCATTGTCCCTAAAAGGAGAGGAAAACCACCGTGCTTATCAGAAAGCCAGATGTAAAAAAAACTTGAAAAAGACTTGTAAAATTTATATTCGGAAATAAAATTAGTTGAAGCCTTGAAGGAAAGAAAACATACCAGTTTAGGAGGTGTTCACCTAGTATGTTACCAGCATCGGTCAAAGCTTGGCTCCATTTTTTCTCCTCTGTTTTACCAACACAAGTTTTCTTGAAAACTTCCCCAAAATCTCCTGTTTGTTTACGCACATTAGATGGATCTACTCCGCTGTAAAAGACCGTCATCACTATCTGTCCCGTTTCTTTCTTGCACTTTAAAATCTCCACCAGCTCATCCAAACACCAGCTTGATGCAGCGTAGTGTTGAACTGTTTACGTAGATGACTGAGAAAGGTTTTACGGACGTCGGGCCATGGAAGCTCGTGAAGATGTGGCCGAGAAGAAGAAGAAGAAGAAGCCATGAGATAGGATCGACTGTGTCGTTCTCTTTTCCACACAAAAAAGGATGAATCAACTGTGTTGTAGAATTGACAGAAACTGCTACTGGAATTCCTTTATGAATTGCCTTCCACCAGAAGAGATTTATATTTTGTAGAATTGACAGTTTCTGATGCTCCGAAAAAATATGGTTTGCTTGTCGCAAGAGATTGTAGCCTGATTCAACTGTGTGTATATTATGAACCAAAGTGATTGTATCTGTGGCTCCGCTTAAGCTTGGTCTGAGAAGCTTGATTTTTGGTATGTCTTCTGGGAGTACAAAGATTGGTCTAATATGAAATGATTAGGACCACCCTAATATTATGGTTGGAGAAGTACAAATGCCTTTTGAAAAGTGAAGGAAATTGAAAACGAGTAGATAGCTAAAGTTCATACACAGCAAGTGAACATTTTCTAATGGGTAAATACAAAGTCAATCACAACAAGATAACATTACTCGAGTCTTAAAACTATGCAGAAATAGAACACTTGTACTGTAATCAAACTCAGAAGGACAACAAATGATCACATACGAAAGAAAATAAAAATAAACGTGGAATCAAAATCCGAAGGAAAAAAAAGTGGGAGCAAATAAACCTAGCAAATCATCATCGGTCGTCTCTACTCGTGATGCATCATTCTCAAAGCTCTCATCAGAGAGATTTCCATCTTCGCAGTCCAACAGTTGTTCTGAATTGTTTTCTACTACCCTGATCTGGACACCACATTCAACAATTTCGATGTCCTCGGATGAGCTGCTGAATTCGAATGATATCTCGTTGTACTGCTCAACATCAAAATCGAAGTCTTCCGTAGGAATGTTGGAGTAAAATACTCCCACATGTTCTGATTAGACTCCATAATAGAGAGGAAATATGCAATTCTCTATGGGGCAACTATTTATGCTTTTGCGGCACATTAATTCTATATCAGTAACATATTACATCTCTGATTTAGGAGAAACAATGACACACATCTTAAAGTCGCAGACATTTGAACTGATTGTCAAGGAGTTTCCTATAGCCCTGTGATTGTACTCTGCAGGTATATCTCTTCCAGGTAGGCATCCCCGCCATGATTTCTGGATAATTTCTCTCCTTGCTTCTGGACCCAATTTGAAGCAATTGGGGAAATAGATATTTTGAATCTGAGAGTCGGAAGGGAAAGGTACTAGTGTCTCCAGTGATTCACAGTTGGATACCATTAGTCCTGTGAGCGACCTAGGAAGCTCTGGCAGTGATGCAAGTTTTGGACATCCAACTATCCAAAGCGTTTCTAACTCATGAAGATCTTTGATGCAGTCTGGAATTCTCTCAATATCTGCGCCATTTCTCTCTGGCATCAAAAATTCACGTGGAAGGACACTGCCAACTATAGCTAGAGACTGAAGACGAGACCAGAGCCTAACTGATGCAGCAAATTCTTCTAACATCGTGTCTACGATTGAGAGCATAGTGGGGGTTGCGGAAATATCTGGAAGTTTTCTCAATTGGTAGCATCCCGCTATCTTAACTTTTTCAAGAGATGCCAAGTTGAAGAGATTTGGAACAACCTGTAGCTTTCCACAGTATTCCATCTCCAACTTCTCTAGTTTATGAAGATTTCCAACAGAGGAATGAATCTCTACCAAACTCTGGCAATAATTCACATCCAAAATCTCGAGGTTTGTAGCATCTGAAAGATCCGGGAGTTCCTCCAATTTATAAGACGATCTCAAATTCAGCTTCTTGAGATTTCCAAGAGGCTGTATATGAAACAACACAGCAAAAAATATCAACACATGATGCATGAGGAAAAATAGTCATAATCGTTTGTTATTTAATATTTACTTTAGTAATTCCCAAACTAAAAAAAGTCGGATCTTTGTGTCATTATTGGTTGACTGTTTTTTTTTTGAACAACCATTATTGGTTGAATGTAAAACAGCACAATAACATAAGAATGTTCATCAAAATGATGAGAGAAATACATACCTTTAGTTTATCGATTACAAATAAATTTACTTACAAATATAAACAAACTCATATGTTAATGGGTTACTGATTTTCATTTAATTAAAATAAATGTCTAATTCATTTTTTAAATGGTGTAAAAAGTAAATTAAATTGAGGTTGTTATTTTGTTGATTTTTATTGGATATGAATAAAGATTTGCTGTCATATATTTTTCATATACAAATATAAAGGGTGTACGCTTAACTCAGATCCATAAATAAAATGCTATTTTGAATTCCACCTAGATTTCTAATATCATTTAGAATTTCAATCTCTATAATATTATTTGATTCTAAACATAATACATCTTAAGTTATACATAATATTTCTAAAATATATTTACATATCTAAGACAAAAACCAACCTAAATACAAATAAAAAATTAATCAAAATTTTAATATAATTAGAAAAAAATAATATAGTTGAATTCAGAGAAATAGATTCAATCTAATATACACAAATGATAACTAAATCAACTGTAAAAAACAACCAAACCGACTAGATGGATCATATCTAAAATCATATGTATAATTAAAATAATATAATATTATTAAATTATTCATATAAATTAAAATTAATTAAAAATTAAAAGTAAATTAATGTTAGAAAATATTTTTATAAATATTTATACCGTGTATGAGCATGGGTAAATTAGCTAGTAAACCAATAAAGCAACTGAACAATTTATTCAAAGTAAAACTAAAAAAACAAACCTGGGTTCCTTTCCACAAATGCCTGAGCTTGCTATCTACAAAACTGAGTTCCACAAGATGTTCAGGCTTAAGTGTATGAGGAAGACACGTTCCTGGATATTCCTTCCAATGTAATAACTTCAGACGAGGTGGAAAATCCATGTCCTCGGGTACATGCACTCTTACATTTGTATCCCATCTTGAGTTGTAGATCCTGAGAAATTGAAGATTGCGCATTCTTTTCAAAGCTTTTGGGCTTATTTCTATGCTGTCTTTGATAGTAGATATATCAAAACATATCCCCATCAAACTTCTATTACCCTAAATAGAAGAAACCATGTTAGAACACGAAGTAAGATTGCTAGGTCTTTGCCAAATGACCGGTTTAAGGGATACATCATAAATAAAAAGAAGAAAACTTACAGAATCCTTTTCAAGAACATCGAGAATATCATCAGTATCAATTAGGATTTTACGTTTCCAAGGCTCTTGTCTTTGAATCGCCTGTATACCAACTTGTTGTAGTAACTTGTGCATCACTATGGTTCCTTCCGCGGATATTTGTATAAGAGATTTATAAACAAGGGTTTTCAACCCAAATCTTACATCAAAGTCACTGTCAGCGAGCATTGCTTTCACATGACCATCGTCTGCGTAGTTGAAGAAGACTGCGATGAGGAGAAATAGAGTTTGATCGTTCTCATGTAAACTGTCAAATCCAACTCTAAGTACTGCATCGATCTTTGGTATACTGCTCTTTTCTGGCCTATGCAATATACTTTCCCAGTCATCTTCTTTCTTTCCGCGTAAATTTGAACCCATGACTCTGAGACCCAATGGAAGGTTACTACAAAGCTTTGTTGCTCTTTTGATAAGCTTTTGAAAACCATACGGTGCCAAGCTCCCTTTAAAAGCATATCTACAAAGGATCTTACAAGCCTCGTCTATAGATGGAAAGTCCACATGGTATGTAATGTTGATACCATGTTGCTCCAAAAGCTCTCGATCTTCCGTGGTCACCACAATCCTGCTTCCAGGACCAAACCAGTTAGTTTCATCAGCCAAAGCTTCAAGTTTCTGCAGATCGTCCACATCATCAAGAAAGATAAGAACCTTTTGGTCACACAGCCTATCCGGCATCATACCTAAATGGTTTATCTGTATATCATTTTGGTTTAAAGTCTTTGAAAGAAGTAGCTCTTGTAAACGCAGCTTCAGTCCATACTCGTCAAGACCATTGTTACAGCTTCCTCTAATATTCTCCATAAAACAAGAACGGTGGAAACTGCTAGAAAGTCGGCTATGTAAAGCTCTGGCAATGGTAGTCTTACCAATTCCAGCAGGGCCATATATTCCAACAATCATAGTTCCACTCTCATCATCTAAATGTAACAAAGATTGCATCTTCTCCAGATGTGCTTCAATACCCACCATGTCTTCAAAATCGTTAGAGACAGTAGCATTTAGTTTGTTTGAAACAACTCTAGCAATGTTTTCAATCATCTCCGATTCGTTGTCCCTAACAAGAGAGAAAAGTCACCGTGCTTATGAGAAGTCAGATGCGAAAGTGATTTGCATATTCTATCGGCCAAGGAAAAACCATGTTAGTGTAACTAACAAGGAGCAGGAAGGAAAAATCATAGGATTAGCAACATCTCTTTCGGCAAGACATTCATATCATACACTATTAAAAGGGGTAAATAAAGCCCTCTCACCATATCCACATCACCAAATATATTTGGCCAATAATAGAGTTTTAAACAGTCACGTCATGTTTGGTTTGGGCATGCGAAACTCGATTTCGATTTCGGTTTAATCTACCGAAACCCGGTTTGTTTTCGGTCAATGTTAAGTTACAAAATAAAAAGAAGATAAAGTAAATGCTTTTATATATACAGTCCAAAACGATCATCATCATTACTCCATGCCCAAACAATAGAACTACCAAAGTTTTCAGAACTTATAATTACTAACAAATAAATCATGGAAAAAAAATCGTAAATATGTTCATATATTTGTTTATAAAATATATATATATATATAGTAGAACCTCAGTAAAATAATAATGTTAAGACTTAGATATTTTAATACTTAACGTACATATTAATTTACCAAAAAGAAAAAAACAAACAGAAGGACTTTTGTACTTCATTATACTTCAAATTTAAATGTAACGTACAACTAATATTGTAATTTTAAATATTATCCCCAGTTACATACTTTAATCCTAAAAATAAAAATTGAAAATTTAAGATTTTATCTGTGATCCATTTTGACGATTTCTATAATTTTCATTCCAACTTACAACTAATTTGGATATTAGAACTATTAATGGGGGCAAATAAAGCCCTCTCACCATGTCCACATCACCAAATATATTTGGCCAATAATAGGGCTTTAAACAGCCACGTCATGTTTGGTTTGGGCATGCGAAACTCGATTTCGATTTCGGTTTAATCTACCGAAACCCGGTTTGTTTTCGGTCAATGTTAAGTTACAAAATAAAAAGAAGATAAAGTAAATGCTTTTATATATACAGTCCAAAACGATCATCATCATTACTCCATGATCAAACAATAGAACTACCAAAGTTTTCAGAACTTATAATTACTAACAAAGAAATCATGGAAAAAAAAATCGTAAATATGTTCATATATTTGTTTATAAAAAAAAATATATATATATATATATATATATATATATATATAGTAGAACCTCAGTAAAATAATAATGTTAAGACTTATATATTTTAATACTTAACGTACATATTAATTTACCAAAAAGAAAAAACCAAACAGAAGGACTTTTGTACTTCTTATACTTCAAATTTAAATGTAACGTACAACTAATATTGTAATTTTAAATATTATCCTCAGTTACATACTTTAATCCTAAAAATAAAAATTGAAAATTTAAGATTTTATCTGTGATCCATTTTGACGATTTCTATAATTTTCATTCCAACTTATAACTAATTTGGATATTAGAATGTCTACAATTTTAAAAGTAAGTGTATTAAAATTCTTTAAAAAGTAATTTACATAAGAGATTGGATAATAAAACAATTTAAGAGTCAAAAAAACTTAACAATATTTAATTGATGTATTTTCATGTATTTTATTAGTAAAAAAAATTAGATAGAGTTTATTACTTAAATATAAACTCAGACAAGTCAATGAGCAAATAGTACAAAAGAATTTTAAATTAATAAACTATTAAAATATAAAAATATGCGCGTAGCTGTGCTTCAATTCTATATGGTCGTTCGTATACTCCCTAAATTTGTTAATATGCAAGTAATGATTATAAATTTTTAATTTCAAACAAAATTAAACTGAAATATATGTTACTATGATAATTTAGCTATTATTTTAAATCTAAAACATTATTTATTATTATATGCATTTAATTTCAAAATTTTCCCAAAGTAACCATAAATAAGTTCTAAAATGTTTAAATATATGTTAGAATGCATATGTGATTAATTTAATTTATACTTTATAAAATAGTTAAAATTTAATTATGTTATATATAATTTATTGTAATAGTTTAATTACGTATGAATTATGTATATATAAGCATTATAAATTTGTTTGTTTTAAAAATAACTTCAAACTGAATACATATTTAGTTGTTAACAAAGTAAAACAAGAAAAAATTTATAATATACACAAAAACATTAAAACAATAAACATCTACATTTTCAATAACGAAGATGTTAAAATATTTTCTCATAATGCAATAGTATAAAAGATATATGTAAGGAAAAACATGAAGTTTACTATTACACTTTTCCCATAGATTGGAAAAAGAACAATTTGAACATTTTCTCATTCCCAAATTTCAGGCGGACACACGCATAAGAGAAAACGAGGCCGCCCACGTGGGTCGCATAACAAACCAAAAGGTGTGTTCTTAGCCTCAGACTTATCCAACTGAGTTTTAAATTGAAACTTTAATAGTAATAAAGTTATATCTATTCACAGCTCTTATGATTAATGATCCGCTAACATTCAAGCCAAAGTTCTATGACTGTAAGTTTAATGGTTTGCATTACCTTATTGATATCATTACTTATGCATAACACAAGCTGAGTCTCAAGTTTTATCGTATAGGTGGTTGCGAGAAATGCGATTACTACGGTATGTAACCATACCCGGATAGTTTTATTGCATGATGAAACAAAGCTACCGTTCACTTTGCGTCGGCGACAGTGCTCCATCAGATTGTGTTACGCAATGACAATCAACAAAAGCCAGGGTCAAAGTTTGAAAGAAGTTCTCTTATATCTACCTAATCCGGTCTTCGCCCATGGTCAATTATTTGTGGCTCTCTCACGCGTGACAAGCAAAGCAAGACTAAAAATCATTAAGGGCCATGATTCGCACCCTCAGAAAGTGAAAATCATAGTCTACAAAGAGATCTTCAACCGGCTTCCTTCCGATGAAAGTAAGTAAAAATTTATACTTAGACGCAAAACTAAAAAAAAAATTAAAGGGTTATTTAGCTGAAAAATCACAATTGTCTCCACAGTGCTCTAGCTGATAACACAAAGAATTGGAAGCAAAAATGCTACCGTGATGATGGATATCTTCTCACGTCCAGGTACCTATACATATATTATGAAATAAATAAACATATTTCTATTAATAATAACTACTCACTAACTTATTTTAATTAATTTTCAGTCCCCAGTTCAAAAAAATCCCACCCAATCCACATCCTCTACCTTGAGAGTACCACTTGCTTCCCCATCATTAATATTTTCCCGTTGTTTAAGACTTTATAAATTTTTTCTTCAAGATTATGAAAACTATCATCTACTTCTAAACATTATTTCACAAATGCTTATATTTCATTATGCATCAAACATTACTTACTACCTGCTTTATTCAATACAAGTTCTTTGGCTGAACATTTTTCGAAGTTATTAAAAGATATTATGTATAAAGCACCTACTAATATATATTAGCATCTCGGGTATCCTACATTTTTAATCAACACTTTTTCTAAAAAATACATAATGACATAACAAATTTTTTTTCTCCTACAAAATAACCCGGGCGTAGTCTGAAAAAGGATCTAGTAATTATAATACTAACTAAAGGTTGAACCGTGCATCCGTACAAATGGTTTATTTTAAGAAAAAGGATCTAGAGATGTTTGTTTTTGATTTTTAGTATATAACATTTATGGTAGATCACCAGCTTTTAATTGTCTGTAATTTGTTGGTTACTCATATTATGGTTGTGTTCAAAAAAAAACTCATATTATGGTTTGATGTTAAACCAATCAAAATGATATAATATATTCTTTAATTAGTAATTTTTCGTTAGACTAACCATTTTTGATGTATTATTTATAAATTAAAATATCAATTATTATGTTTATGTATATTAATAGATCAATCGTTCCAAGATAAAATAGTTTATGTCAAATAAAATTGACTTGTGTTTTAATAGAATAAATAGATATGTCTTTACGTTTTATAAGCTAAGCATATTTTCTACCATTTTTATTTTTGAGGAAATATTAAATAAAGTATTATATATTTATAATTCAAAATATATATATACATATGTGATCTTTACGTTTTTATAAGC